ACGCTCTCTCCACTGCTGGCTATTCTCTTCTTCGCACACAGCGTCTTCGCACACAGCGTCTTCGCACACAGCGACTTCACCCTTCAACTCTTAACTCCAACTCCTCAACTTCAACAACCTTCTCCAAGCTCTCCAAGCTCCAACTCTCCCTCTCCAATTGCCGACCCCCCAATTTATCCCCGCTCTCATTACGCCCCCAATTAATTAGTCCGCGTCCCAACGGCACTCTGCGTGACCGTACACCTGTTTCTCCTCCAGACCTTTAGGCGCCGCTCTAGCCTTGGCAACAGCTCAAATCACAGCCGTCCACGGCTCTCCCAGCTTAATTGCCCTAACATAACCTGCACTGTATTCGCCTTCACTACAGGCTGACCCAAGAAAACCCGTACTGTTTGTGTGATCATGTAATCACGCCACCTCCACCACGCACCTTCCTACTCCACTACACGGGTAGGAACCTCCTGGTTACACCAGCCCACAAGGGATTATTCTTTCCATCCGTCGTGCATCCAAAAATGGGAGGGGTGGGGCTGGGTGGAGAGGGGAGGGTGGGGAGGGGCTGGGTGGAGAGTGGAGGGTGGGGAGGGGCTGGGTGGGGAGGGGCTGGGTGGGGAGGGTGGGGCTGGGTGGGGAGGGGCTGGTCACCCCGTGGTGCCCTTATAAAACTCAACGTTTAACCTACTCACTCCGGCTTGTGCCCGCCCTCACAGCCGGGCATATTTGCGGAATACACCACGCCGCCGTTGACCCTGGCCATTGACCGAGCAGACCAACGTTCCTACCAGCTCCCTCCGCAGGAATGTGTTGAAGGAGATGTGTGCATCTGCCTGTAGATGCGATTCTGGTGCGATTGATGGTTACGCCACCAGGTGTCTTAGAGGAATGTCAAAGCCAGGATGTGCGATGATTGGGTTGCGAATTAGGTGTTCATTTTAGAGGTTCTCATTCCACTGTTCACCACCGTTCTGCCAGATCTGGATGAGAAACCTTTCTTAATAAATGAAATGAAACTTTCTTATGCGATACTGCATCAGCAGTGTTGCACAAGGAAAAAAAAATCACATTTTGCAGTAACATGGTCCGAAGACGAAAATATGTATAATAAGAAATGTTTTAAAAGACAAAGGCCCTCCAAAGCAGTGAGTAATAGTTGGATACTGAACGATTCACCATGCATCCATAGTAAATTAAATATTTTATGCGGTGTTAAATTGGCATATTCCAATTTGCCATATTGCAGTTTAAGACCCCTCATCTGGAAATGTTCTTAAAAGTAAACGTCTTCATGTTCTCCCCGTGGTTGCGTATGTTTTTCTCCAGGTCCTCCGGTTTCTTCCCTCCACGTAAAAAAAAACGCGCGCAGAGAGTATTTGACCACGATAAAGTCCCACGTAGTAAGCCAATTCTTTCAGCTGTAATTTGTGACCGATTGCTTTTGAAAAATAGCTATATAGCTCAGTGTGCCTTGCCTGATGAAATGAAAAAAAATTGTTTAGTCTAATAGCTTAAATCATGGGACCTCCTTTGCCAGTACCAAACTATGAGAATAGGTTTTTTCCTCTTTTTTTCTGGCAACAAAACAGCTGTGTTGAGATGTTAAAACACCAAACTGAAACCTTTTACAAGGAATCATGTCACTGCATTAACCACAATACTTGTGGTCAGAATGCAAACATAAACATTCTCTGATGATATATGCATCGTCCTTGAAACTGATGGTCCACACCAGAGACAGCTTTCTTTGGAGCCGTTTGGCGTCCTCTGGTCTAACATCGTTTTGAGACAAGACTCAAAAGAAAGCTGTCTCTGGTGTGGACCAATCAGTTTCAAAACAATGCATATATGATCAGAGTGTGTTTTTTTGTTTGCATTCTGACCACAAGCATTGTGGTTAATGCAGTGACATGATTCCTTGTAAAAGGTTTCAGTTTGGTGTTTTAACGTCTCAACACAGCTGTTTCGTTGCCAGAAAAAAGGGGAAAACCTCTTCTCATATTGAATAGCTTCATTTATTCTGCAGTACAGTATTCCCTTTTTATTCACGAAATTGCTATTCACGATTTTGGGTATCCGAGAATCGCATCTGGAACTCTACGTCACTCCACTAAGGAGAGAGAGAAGGAAAGTGATGAGATTAAGTGTTTGGAGAGAATTTAAGTGATGAGATTAAGTGATTGGAGAGAATTTAAGTGATGAGATTAAGTGATTGGAGAGCATTTAAGTGATGAGATTAAGTGTTTGGAGAGAATTTAAGTGATGAGATTAAGTGAGTGGAGATCATTTAAGTGATGAGATTAAGTGATTGGAGAGAATTTAAGTAATGAGATTAAGTGATTGGAGATCATTTAAGTGATGAGATTAAGTGATTGGAGAGAATTTAAGTGATGAGATTAAGTGATTGGAGAGAATTTAAGTGATGAGATTAGGTGTTTGGAGAGAATTTAAGTGATGATATTAAGTGATTGGAGATCATTTAAGTGATGAGATTAAGTGATTGGAGAGAATTTAAGTGATGAGATTAAGTGATTGGAGATCATTTAAGTGATGAGATTAAGTGATTGGAGAGCATTTAAGTGATGAGATTAAGTGATTGGAGAGAATTTAAGTGATGAGATTAAGTGATTGGAGAGAATTTAAGTGATGGGATTAAGTGATTGGAGAAAATTTAAGTGATGAGATTAAGTGATTGGAGAGAATTTAAGTGATGAGATTAAGTGATTGGAGAGAATTTAAGTGATGAGAATAAGTGATTGGAGAGAATTTAAGTGATGAGATTAAGTGTTTGGAGATAATTTAATGCGAGAAAGTGATGAGTGGTGAGATAAAATTAAGACATGAAGTGATGAGATAAGGAGATGAGAGGTGCATAATTTTCACGTATGAAACAGCTTATTTATGCATTTACTTAAGGAAATTATTTCAAGATATGGGTTTCCGTAGCCCAAAATCATTATGCGGGAAAGTAACTATTCACGCGCATCTCCGGAACGTATCCATCGCAACTAACGGGGGAGTGTTTTAGCACATCAGTTCAGATTCGACTTGTTGAGTATAAGGCATGCACTTTACAATTGCTCTGTCAAAAGGATACATCCTTTACAACAATGTGGGATTCATTCTTTAAAAAAAAAACCTTGATAGACCCTCGGGCTCAGTGTCACCAGGAGACACACATTGTTAATCGTACGTATGTTGAACTTCTTTCACACCGTACATAGCCAACCGCACTAATCGGAGGTGCGGGAGAAGGGCAACAAACTAAAAACAAAATGCACTTATCAAAGGAAGAGTTTTGATTTAAAGCTTTCGTGACTGCAGTGATTCATATTCTTGGTTCTTTCGGTAAAGTCACGTTGAAGGGAAACAACAAAATAATAAAATATATATAAAACAATAAAATTCTCACTACGTTTCGACGGCCGCAGAAGCAGCATCTGAAAGTGCGTGATTCGGTGACCGCATTTGTTTGATGGCGAGCCACAAGCCGCTGCTGCGAGGTTGACCGGAGTTCGCGCGATAGTTTATGCTCCATGACGAGATCAGAAAGGCATTGTGGGTCATTTTCGGCGAGCAATTTGCAACGAGCGCGAAATTATTATTCCGTGAAAAAAAAAGTCACCCTTGCACTTTGGGATGCAGCATCGAATAATGATACAGACTCAACTCGAAATGGGAGGGAGCATTCATTAATATACGAGCCAATTCCCAAGACGAATGGAATAACACGCAGAGGTGAATAAAGAACAGGGCGTCTCATTTCACAAGGCAACATATCTCTTGAAGCACACTATTAAAGTCACTCACACATCGGGCTTAACACGAACTTTCAACTCTCAAATCATTCCTCACTTTACGAACAACTATACAACTATGAGTTCGGAGCAGACTATGGATCAACGCCGAATATATATATTTCAACGTCATCCACTTTGTAGCTAATCGGGATGCAAGTTGCATAATATAACTAAATATATAGTTTAGTTATATTAACATTAAAAATAATTAATGCGATGTCCGACAGCTAATTCGTTAATGTCTACACAAAGGACTAGTGTGGACACTGCAGCTGCAGTACGACTTATTTGTTGTGCATTATAATCAACGTGAATCTGTCCCTCTCAATTCCTTTTTCAATTATGATTCGTGAAGCTTGCGAGCAAGGATGCCAGTCTGGGAAGGGTTACACAGCTCAAAATTCGAAGAGGAGGAGCACTCCACAATCACCCGACTTAAGTAACGTGATGAAATCTAAATTATCCACGGAGAATGCCCCCTCCTTCTGCAGTAGAATGCACCTGCATCAGTAACGGTGTTTTGAAAACGCACCACTTATTCTATCCCTTGTTAACCATGTATGCCACCTTAACGTATCTGCTATCTCAACATGCATGCTCAGAGAAATCACCTAAACTCGCTCCTGTACAAAAATAAAGCAGTCAAGCGATTTGGATATTGACCTCTGATGACAAATGCAAGAAGAGGACTTGAGACCCTGATTTAATCATAAGCGGCTGAAACCCGGAATGAAACCCAACATCTATTAAAAACTATATTTTTTTAATTTTGATCAGGTAGGGCCCACTGAGCTATAAAGCTCTTTTTTTTCCCCCAGAAGTAACCTGGCCACATTTGACGGTTCAACGAAGTGGCTTATTGCGTGGAAATTCATAGCAGGTAAGTAGTTTAACACATAGGCTTTCGTGACCAATATTATTCATAATAAAAGTTTTTGGGTTAGATCGCGTTATTTATAAATGTGTCGTAACCCTCCACCACCCGACACGGCCAATCAGCAAAAAAAAGTGTCACGTTGACAAAAGACAAATCTTTCGCTACTTTAGCCCACCGGTGTGTTGAAGAGTGAATCCACAACATTTACAGTTTGAGTACGACGTTTCGCTGGTAATTTCATCCAGCATCATCGGCCAATTCGCCAGAATGGTAAAGCCCTCGCTTGCTCTCGGTCTTGAAACAGGTAAGTACTCTAAACGCGTGGTTTTAAATGCGGAGGGAAAAACCGGAGGACCCAGAGTAAAATTAACGCGAGTGCGGGGAGCGAGAGAGAACATGCAAACTTCAAATATACGGCCATCAGGGTCGGGATTAAACACACGACATCCTCTGTACCAGGCTTGGATTACAGTGAAAAAGGTGTCAACCCGAAAGTGGAGCTTAGGCCCGGATGAGTGAGCTCAGGGAGGTGTACATCTCGCCAAAGTCGGGACGCGTCAGTGGGTCCTCATGCCAGCAGGAGGACATGACGCGGTGCACGGCATCAGGGCAGACGCTTGGACGGGGTAGGCGGGTTCCCTGCTTCAGCAGCTCAACCACCTCCCTGTGCGTCTTCCCTACAGGGGTGGTGGGGTCGGGGGGGGGGCGGGGGGGGCAGGAGATCGGGTGGGGGGGGGTAAACAATGGAGGACACGGAGCAGACGCCGTCACAGTTTTATACCCGTCGGATAGCACGGTTATTAAAAAAAAGATCGCGGTCAAGAGGTGGGCACCATACACAGTCAACCGTGCTCATCGGAGGTCTGGGGGCAGGACAACAACACCGCACGGTTAGCCAAACAAACAGTTAGGCAAGTAGCGAAATCGATTTGTACGCTCGTGATATATTCATTACGTATACGTCAATAATTATGCACGTTATACGCTAATCGTACCTTCAACATGACGGAGTAAGCAACAGAGTAGAGATGAGGCGTAAAAAAACAAAAACGTGAAACGGCAAATGATGCGATGAAATTTTCAGATGACGTAATTAATTGCAGCAGTAAATCATTCTTCTAAAACGCGGCGATTATTCAAATGACTGTGGGGTGCCGTGAATTGGCGCGGGCCATTTGAACCTTTGTAAGGGAGGGTGCCGTCCGTGTAAATCTCGAAGAGCAGCACCCCGAAAGACCAGGAGTCACACTTGGACGTCCAGACTTTGGTAGTGAACGCCTCGACGGCACACCAGCGTGCGGGCAGCATATCTCCTGCACACCCACAGGTAAGGCAGTGCAGCGTGTAGATTTGCAATCCAACCGCATAGATCTTTGGATGATATCCCTCCTCGTACACCGACTCTGGCAACCAAATGAGGGTACGCGCCTGAGAGGGCCTCTACCGTGTGGAGATGGAGCGATGGAACAGCTTTTGCGCAAGTTCTAGGCGGATTATATTATTCTATAGTTTTTCACCGACTTGCTATTCCGCGATTTTTGGCTACCCACGAATCGCATCTGGAACTCTACACGATTATATCGAGAGAGAGAAAGAAAGTGGTGAAATAAAGTGATGAGAGATAATGTGATGAGAGATAAAGTGATGAGAGATAAAGTGATGAGAGATCAAGTGATGAGAGATAAAGCGATAAGAGATAAAGTGATGAGAGATAAAGTGATGAGAGATAAAGTGATGAGAGATAAAGTGATGAGAGATAAAGCGATGAGAGATAAAGTGATGAGAGATAATGTGATGAGAGATAAAGTGATAAGAGATAAAGTGATGAGAGAGAATGTGATGCAACATCATAATTTAAAGTGAGTTCATTTTGAAAGTATTATTAACACTTTAATAATATATTTTTATTTAATCTTGATTTGAAGCTTTCGTGACTACAGAAATCCATCCTCTTTGGTTCTTTCGGTAAAGTCACGTAGATATAAAATAAAATTGATCACGACGTTTCAGGCACAACACAAGCGTCCATCATCAGGTGGGAAAGTCGTGATTTATAAGAACCAAAGAGTAAAATTCTTATTTACTTTACGTTTTTAATGTTATTGTGTTCTTTAGATAATGTTCATGTGTTTAGTAGCTTATTTATGTTTTTATTGCTATTCGCGGGCATCTGTGGAACGTATCCCCTCGCGAAAAACAAGGGGATACTGTTCATCGCGGATTTGAGAGAGGGTAGTGATGGCTTGGGCAGGTCTTCACCCAGCAGTGGATTGACCATGGCTGATGATGATGAATGGAAAGTAACTACAGGAATTAACTGAAGAACCGTATCGATTGACTGATGCTTCGTTACATGCTAAGTTCTTGCACACAGAGACCAATGATGATGATCGTGGTGGCGATGTTTGAGACGATGCCAGTGATCCTGCTTGCTACTGCTGCTGATGATGATGACGCTGGTGATTCATAATAGGTGTAAAGACGCATATATTAGTCAATTACTATCGATTATTTCATCTAAAGATTAACACATCGCACTTGTAAAAAGCTATATTTTTCCAAACTTGATTTGGAGCTTTCCTGACTGCAGGAATTACTCGTTGGTTGTTTCTGTGTATATTTTTCCAATTCGTTTGTTGTATGAAATCGTGCCACGTGACCCCTGCAGCCAATAGAAGCCGCTACGTCCCCCACAGTTTTGACAATCCTTGAATCAAATTGCGACCGTGAATAACAAAAGACTCATTCACCTTTAATGCAGCTGCTGCTGCTGATGGTGACGATGATGATGGCGCCGGTGGTTTTTGTGAAGATACAAATGATCGTGCCGCTGATGCTGATTGTAGTGCCGGTAACGGTGGGAATTTTGGTAATAATGGCAACGCGACAACCGATCATCAATCTCCTGGTCTACAGAGCAACGACACAATGCTGCTACCGATGATGATGATGATGACGATCACAAGGACTGAGTCGTCACCTTCACTGATTTGATACACCTCGCCCGCGAGCTTGCGGACGAGCTGGAATCCCGCGATCTTGCAGCCGAAGCCGTCGTCGAGAAGAATGTTGGCCGCACGAAGATCAAGGTGCACGCAGCCCTCTTCCTCCAGGAAGCGCATCCCCTCGGCCACCTCGAAGGGCATAAAAAAAAATATCACTTCACCAACTACCACCGCCGCCACCAAATCACCGTGAACATGCTCGATCTCGTCAGCAGAGCTGAGCCTGGTTAACGCCCGGTGGTTGGGATTCTCCTGGGAACACGAGGCGTTGAAGGGCTGGGATACGAGGTGGTCAGGATACGGCAGCCAGGCATCAGATTGGTAATTGTAGATTCACTTCCAGACAAGACATTGCCTGCAAAAAGATTGTGCGAGATTTGTCCGCTCCAATGTGATATCAGAGTTTCCCTTCTCCTACGTACAGTCGATTCACAACCATGTCCCTCTAGTGCTTGCCGAAGCTGCATGGAATTCCGGGTGCTGAAGAACAGATTTAGGTCGCACTCATGGCACACCAAGTGCTTGCCACAAATGAACCGCAACACCTCGCTGATCTCACCAAGGAGCATAAACCATCACGCAACCATCAAACAAAGACGGTCACTGCATTGCGCGCATTCAGATGCTTTTCTGCGGCCACCTGGAAGACTCTTCCTTCCGATGTTAGGAAGCCATTGGAGCTATGCACTTTTAAATCTAGATGGAAAACTGATTTTATTAGAACTGCTTTTTGTGTTTAGTTCGTTGTCCTTCCCCCGCACCTCCAATTAGCACGGTTGGCTATGTGCGGTGCGAAATAAGTTCAACATACATACATACATGCGCACATTTCTTCTTACGTATCATCTGATAAAACCCCTCTGTGTTATTTGAGGAGGGCTTCCCAACGTCTACCACGTGGGGGACGTGCGCCAATGCCACTGTATCCCGTCATGGGAATATGGAATTTCCACCAATGGCTTGGGACCACCGACTATGGATGTGAGTGTCGTCTCGTGCTGCGTGGGCCATCGCACCTGTCCTGCCACTACGTCCACTCAGCCGTAACAAACAAAAAACGAAGGGTACCTCGGCAGCCATTTTGAGGTAGTAACGGTCACGGTTGGAGGAAGATTTCTTCTCGAGGAAGGCCAGAAGATTTCCTGTTGCATGTAGGGAGATGAGTACACAGGGAGATGAGTACACAGGGAGATGAGTATTGAGGGACATGGGCGCACAGAGACATCAATACAGTACGGAGAAAAATGAAAGTCACAGAGAAATGAACACGTGTATGTATATGAAGACAGAAATGCGAATACACAGAATGAGACGTGAGAACAGAAAGACATGAATAAATACATGGATACACAAATCACGTGACATGAGCACATGCTGATCAACTAATTATGAACCCTTCCCGTTGCACCAACTACACATCAATAGCACTATCGGTATTGCCGTCAAGAGAGATAAAAATGTTAACTTTTAAAATTCTAGATTTGAAGTTTTCGTGACTGCAAAGATCCATACTCTTTGTTTTTTTTCAGTAAAGCCACGTAGGTAAAAAAAATTAATCACGACTTTTTGGGCGCAACACAAGCGTCCATCATCAGGTGGGAATGTCGTGATTTATTTTATTTTATACCTACGTGACTTTACCGAAAGAACCAAGGAGTATAATTTTTATTTACTTTTCGTGACTGCAAAGATCCATACGCTTTGGTTTTTTTTGGTAAAGTCATGTAGGTAAAAAAAAAACTTTTTTAATATTCATAGCCAGCAGTGATGAACCATCATGTGCCTCGACTGTGCTTGTAGCGTCACGTCGTGAGGTTAAGCATCCATTTGGATGTGGCTTACGCTGTGTGTATATAGAGAACGACCCGTGGACGGAGATGTTATAGAACTACAGCAAAACCTTGGATTGCGAGTAACTTGGTCTGCGAGTGTTTTGCAAGACGAGCAAAATTTTTAAATAAATATTAATTTGATAAACGAGCGAGGGTCTTGCAATACGAGTAGTACGTGTACGCTTTGTCTGCCGAGCGTCACGTGATACGAGTGCTTAGGATATACGAGTGCTTTGGATTACAAACAAGTTTCAGGAACGAATTATGCTCGCAATCCAAGGTTTTACTGTACTTCTGAAATCCCTTCAAGTGACCTATTATCTACACGTGCGAGTTACTGCACATTTCAACAAAACGTCTTGCTACAGAAACAATGTTTGCCACTTTGCAAGTTAAAACTAAAATGTAAATCTCACAACTGGTAATTTCAACCTCCAGAAAAAGCCCTAAACTAAATTAAACGTGATGATTTGAGGATTATTTTTTGTACAGACATTGGCAACCGGGCTGAGACCATCAACTCGCTAACACTTGAGAACCCGGTTTAAAATCCAGGATGAAACCAAGAATACAAACCATGTGTCCTGGGCTTTCCAGCACGAGTTTGATACTTCATTTATGAGAATCAAGACTTTAAAGTATAAGATTAAGAGCAAGATAGCTGTCCAGTGATGTCACTGCTAGATCACTTCCATAAATTTGAATACGTCGGCTCTGTAACATCACTGGAGCACAGTGACAGGGCTTGACTAGTTTTTTTTTTGCCTCGATGCACCACCTAACCACCTCCAATTCTCAACAACAATTAATCAATGCCTAGGGGTAGCAGGGTAGTGTGGAATATCCCAAGCCAAATTCGATCATTTTTTGTAAAATTTCCGTGGTGCAATTTATTATAAAAGCCCGGCGTTCCGTTTGTCTGTCAACTAAATTATAAGAGCCTTTCAAAAGGCCTGAATCAAAAAGTTATAGAAAGTGGACCCCCCCCCCCCCGTACACACCCTACATACAATAAAGTAAGTAAGTAAGTAGTATCTGCACACATTGGGGGGGAGGGGGGTAAAGAGGACATCAGTGGGGGCGACAGCAATATGCCGCCGAAATTCTAGTCTTAAGAAAAAGCATGGCCCTCGTGTCAAGCTGAGCGAGATGCCACTCACAATGCGCATCTCATTTTGACGTTGACCCCCACGATGTCACAATTCATTTGTCGGGCATGTAAACAAGCATACAGCTCCCTTCGCAAAGTACACCACACAGCCCACTACCAGCGAACCACACAGTCCGGTCGGTGCTAACTTTGCTCAGAATCAAAGGCCGATACCATTTTCTCAGTTTGGTCGTGGGAATGTAGTTTTTGTGTGTGTTTGTATGTTGGGGGCCTTCATAGGTGCTCGCTAACATCACTTACCCCTACAGTCTGGTAAAAAGCTATACAGGGGGATCTTTTTTTTTTATTAGGGCAGCGGTAGCGCACTGCACTGCTCCCATTACCGGTAGCATAGTCGTTCGTGCACCGAGCTAGGAAACCCAGCGAGTTCGAATCCCGCTTACGTCTAACACCAGTGGCGAAGATCCAAAGCAGTCCAGTGCCTCTCCTAGGTTGGTGCGGTATTTAAATATCAGCAGAGGGGAGAGAAATTCAACAGCCAGAAAAGGCTTTGTGGGAGATCTGTGTCTTTATGTGCATTTGATTGCAGTCTCTCACTGAGATCCCCCCCCACCCCTACCACGTTTTTCAGCTCTGCTCATTCACCGTTGCTCATGAACTCCATGATGAGGGTGGCAGGAGACTCGGAGACCATGGCAAGCAGGGCAAGCAGCCGGTCGTGCCGCAAGGCGCCCATCATTCGCCCCTCCTCAAGCAGCTGCTCGTTGGTGATACCGTCTTTGCGAATCTTGATGGCCACTTGGCGGTTTTCGTACAGTCCTGCGGGGGTGGGGTTCGACCAGACAGAGTGGGTGAATGAGTCAGTAAGTGGATGGATGGATGAACGTGTCAGTTGATAAGTGATCACATCAATCATTTCATTACACTTCCTTTGCCAGTACCAAAATATAATAATAGGGTTTTTCCCCTTTTTTCTGGCAACAAAACTGAAACCTTTTACACGGAATCATGTGTGCATTAACCACAATACTTGTGGTCAAAATGCAAACAAAAAAACACACTGATAATATTTGCATTGTCCTTGAAACTGATTGGTCCACACCAGAGATGGCTTTCTATTGAGCCTCGTCTCAATTGGTGCTAGACCAGAGAACGCCAAAAGGCGTACAGCTCAAAGACAATGAGGGCTCGGGGTGAGCATCTACATCATTGGACCTCCTTTTCCAGTACCAAAATATAATAATAATAATAGGGTTTTACCCTCTTTGTTTGCATTTTGACCACAAGTGTTGTGCTTAATGCACACACGAGTCCTTGTAAAAGGTTTCAATTTTGTTGCCAGAAAAACAGGCGAAAAAAAGCCCTATTAAAAATCCACGCATGGATGTTAAGTCCAAAGCATGAATTGCTGGGGAGAGACCTCCAGACTACAAGGGCAGGGGGGTGAACCTTCTACTGACCTCTGTGGATGTCGGTGAAGGCTCCTATTTTGACGAGGTCCTGCACGGTGAGAGATGTCTGGGGGACCATCGGGATCAGTGCAGGAGTAACGTCGCTGGTCGATGAGGGTGGAGTCGAAATGGTCCTGTCTGTAGGCAAGGTGAACCGCAAACGGGGAGAAAAACCTGGCTTCATGCACTGGGACTGGGACTCTTACTCAGAGGATTGATAATGGTCCGGGCACTGAGACAATTACTCCTGGGGCGCCGTGGCGAGATGTTTACTTCCTTTGCCTGGTATGCAAGAGGTCGTGGGTTTGATCCCAACCCTCACGCCTGTCTATTTGGAGTTTGCATGTTCTCCCTTTAGTCTCGTGGATTTTTCTCCGGATCCTCCAGTGTTTTCCTCCGCATTTAGAAACACGCGTTTAGAGTATTGGGCTGCTATCAATGTATACCTGCTGAGCCACTTCGTTAGGCCAGGTCACTTTAAAAAAAAGGAGCTATATAGCTCAGTGGGCCTTATCTGAAACTGATTGGTCCACAAGGACAATGCATATGTTATCAGAGAATGTTTTTTTGTTTGCATTCTGACCACAAGCATTGTGGTCAATGCAGTGACATGATTCCTTGTGGAGGTTTTCAGATTGGTGTTTTAACATCTTAACACAGCTGTTTCGTTGCCAGAAAAAATAGGGGAAAAACCGATTATCATATTTTGGTACTGGCAGAGAAGGTCCCATGATGTAGTACCGAAAGAACCATATAATATCTCTCATGAGGTTCATATTGGCCACGAATCCTGTGTGCTGTACCTCTGAGGTTCTGTGTTGTAGCACTGAGACCGGATGCATCTTATGAGGTTCATCATCGTCGTGTCAGAGTCCTGGTGGCTGTACCTCTGAGGTTCTGGTCGTGTCAGAGTCCTCGGTGCTGTACCTCTGAGGTTCTGGTCGTGTCAGAGTCGTAGGTGCTGTACCTCTGAGGTTCTGGTCGTGTCAGAGTCCTGGGGGGCTGTAACTCTGAGGTTCTGGTCGTGTCAGAGTCCTAGGTGCTGTACCTCTGAGGCCCTGTGTTGAAGCACTGGGACCGGATGAATCTTGGAAGGTTCATAATGGCCATGTCAGAGTCCTGGGGGCTGTACTTATGAGGTCCTGTGTTGTAGCACTGGGACCGGATGAATCTTAGAAGGTTCATAATGGCCATGTCAGAGTCCTGGGGGCTGTACTTATGAGGTCCTGTGTTGTAGCACTGGGACCGGATGAATCTTAGAAGGTTCATAATGGCCATGTCAGAGTCCTGGGGGCTGTACTTATGAGGTCCTGTGTTGTAGCACTGGGACCGGATGAATCTTATAAGGTTCATAATGGCCATGTCAGAGTCCTGGGGGCTGTACTTATGAGGTCCTGTGTTGTAGCACTGGGACCGGATGAATCTTAGAAGATTCATAATGGTCATGTCAGAGTCCTGGGGGCTGTACTTATGAGGTCCTGTGTTGTCACACTGGGACCGGATGAATCTTAGAAGGTTCATAATGACCGTGCCTGTGCGCCGAGCCGGCTCGTCTCACCTTCTGCCACTGAGTTCAGCGATGCAAGTGCCCTTTCCACAATCCGCCTCAAGGCGTTGTCAATGTTTTCACTCCTCCTGAAAGCACTGCCGGTCTGCAGGTTCTCATTCAAATCTTGATCTTTCAGCATCTACAATTAATAAAGGGCACTCAATCGTTCGTTATTGATTCATTTCAACATTTTGATAACTGTGTTGTCGATTCCCGTGGTAATCATCGTCACTATCACCTTCATCAGCCATGAACAATTTACTGCTAAATTTTGATTTAAAGCTTTCGCGACTGCAGTGATTCACATTCTTGGTTCTTTCGGTAAAGTCACGTTGAAGGGAAACAATAAAATAATAAAAAATTATAAAACAATATTTTTATATATATTTTATTGTTTCCCTTTAACGTGCCTTTACCGAAAGAACCAAGCATACAATTTACTGCTAGATTAAGGTATCTCCAAGTCATCACCATCTCTCAAAGTCCTGCAATGCAATGATCCCCCTGGCACCTGCTAACAAACCAATTCCATTGCTCTCCCTCGTCAGCCTTCCAGGACATATTCCCTCCATTTGGCTGCCACGCCATCGTTATTGTATGCCTGTATGTTGAACTTCTGTTGGCACCATACGGAGGTGCGGCGAAAGGACAACAAACGAAACACAAAAAGCAGTCCAAAGAAATGAGTTTTCAATCACAGATTTAAAAGTGCGTAGCTCCGAAAATCGGAAGGAAGAGCGTTTCAGACGGCTGGGGAAGCGCGTCTGAAAGCGCGAGCGATGCGGTGACCATCTTTGTTCGATGGCCGGCCAGAAGCTGCTGCGAGGGTGACTGAAGTTCACGTGATGGTTTACGTTCCTCGACGAGATGAGCAAGATATTGTGGTTCATTTGTTTGCGAGCACTTTGTGTGTAATGAGTGCGACCCTGTAATGTATTCACTCGCCAATCGGAAGCCAAGGCAGCTCGGCAAGCACTGGCCGGACACGGTCGGATCTTGCAGTACCCGCCACGACACGTAGCCAAAATATTTTGTACACGCTACAGCTTGGTAATGTTTTTTTTTTTGCCAGACGTCCCGTAGAGTAGTCTAGATCTCCACGCATTATTCTAGATCTCCGGCCGTGAACCTCTTTGAGCGACGTGTCCTGTGAAAGCCCATGAGTTAGAATGAGGTCATTAACTGCAGCATGATCTCTAATTCATCTGTTCCTCTTTCTGACTCCCACCGTACTTCCAGGGATGTGTCTCCCTTCTTGTTCACTCGCTCACTATTCACGTGGCACAATTGTCTGCTTGCAGAATTTTTCAGTGTGGTGGCACAGCAGTTGTTAGCACATTTCGCTATAGACCCCATGGCTATGGCTAACATGGGTTGCAAGCCAGGCCTGATCTGGCCCTCAACAGGGGAGATCGTGTGATGCGAAGGCGCCAATTTAACTGAGTTGGTGAAAACATGTCCCAGCTAGCCAGGGTGAGACTTTGTAACGGGGAGAGAGATCAAAGTGCGACTGGGAACCAGGCTTAACGAAGGGGAAATATGAAAGGTTGCACAGGGAGACCCATGCATGAAATTTTTATTTAATAAATTCTCGGCGAATTTGTGCATTAATTCCCTGTACAGAGAGGCTATTCGTTTAATTCTGTATTTTGTTCCCGTGAATAACGTTTTTTTCTATTGGGTTATATCGTTTAGGTACAGTGTCATTTTTTTTTTACTATAACTCCCCACCGCCCAAGAGAGCCACTGAAATAAATGTGTCACGTGGGAGCAAACGCGCCAATTGATTTGGCGTTTCAGCAAAGCAGCTCTCGAGATCTGAGCCTTGTTAGCACCTGATGATGATGATGATGCTGGATGTAATCTATTTGCGAAACGTCGTACAACATTGTGAAATATATGCTTGCTGTTCAACATTCCTCTGGTGTTTGCAGAGTAACCAAATCAATTGGCATATATGAAAAATAAAAAAAATAAACTCCAGTGTGCGACTGTGGATATCCAGAACAAATCATACAACATATGACGACGTAATGCCTGATCCACAAATACGAAGTAGACATCACAGCGATACACTCAACTAGTCTGTAACATACTCATTGGTTCTTTCGGTCAAAGTCACGTACGTAGAAATAAAATGAAATTTAAATAAATCACATGTAAAATAAAATTTAAATCACGACGTTTCGAACGCAACACAGGTGAAAATGGGACAAAACAGAGAGACATCGCACACAGAGGGACATCACACACAGAGAGACATCACACACAGAGGGACATCGCACACAGAGGGACATCACACACAGAGGGACATCGCACACAGAGGGACATCACACACAGAGTGACATCGCACACAGAGGGACATCGCACACAGAGAGACATCACACACAGTGAGATATCACACACACAGAGAGACATCACACACAGAGAGACATCACACACAGAGGGACATCGCACACAGAGAGACATCACACACACAGAGACATCACACACAGAGAGAGACATCACACACAGAGAGACATCACACACACACAGAGACATCACACACAGTGAGACATCGCACACAGAGGGACATCACACACAGAGAGACATCACACACAGAGAGACATCACACACAGAGGGACATCACACACAGAGAGACATCACACAGAGGGACATCGCACACAGAGAGACATCACACACAGAGAGACATCACACACAGAGAGACATCACACACAGAGAGACATCACACACAGAGAGACATCACACACAGAGGGACATCACACAGAGAGAGACATCACACACAGAGGGACATCGCACACAGAGAGACATCACACACAGAGAGACATCACACACAGAGAGACATCACACACAGAGGGACATCGCACACAGAGAGACATCGCACACAGAGAGACATCACACACAGAGAGACATCACACACAGAGAGACATCACACACAGGGGGACATCACACACAGAGAGACATCACACACAGAGAGACATCACACACAGAGAGAGACATCACACACAGAGAGACATCACACACACAGAGAGACATCACACACAGAGAGACATCACACACAGAGAGACATCACACACAGAGAGACATCACACACAGAGAGACATCACACACAGAGGGACATCACACAGAGAGAGACATCACACACAGAGGGACATCGCACACAGAGAGACATCACACACAGAGAGACATCACACACAGAGAGACATCACACACAGAGGGACATCGCACACAGAGAGACATCGCACACAGAGAGACATCACACACAGAGAGACATCACACACACAGAGAGACATCACACACAGAGAGACATCACACACAGAGAGACATCACACACAGAGAGACATCACACACAGGGGGACATCACACACAGAGAGACATCACACACAGAGAGACATCACACACAGAGAGAGACATCACACACAGAGAGACATCACACACACAGAGAGACATCACACACACAGAGAGACATCATACACACAGAGACATCACACACACAGAAAGACATCACACACAGAGAGACATCACACACAGAGGGACATCACACACAGGGGGACATCGCACAAACAATACGAGATGAATCAGCACTTTGCTTCGTTCACCGTGTCGCTTTTTTGTGTGGAATTAACGGCCCTCCCTTTGTATATACAAGAAGTATAACGTGAACGCCATTGTGTACTCTATTCATAGACACAACAACAATAACAACAACAATACCACCCCCCACCCCCCCCCCAAAACAAAAAAAACCCCACTTCCTAAATCCCCTGCGTCAGTGACATAAACACAGAGCGCCCGCCCTGTAGCCCAACGCGACCTCATGCGCACGCCCCTCGACTCGCCTTGAGGAACGAGACTGGGTCCACCTCCGAGGCGAGCAGGGCCTGGAGGCTGTCCTTGACGCTGGAGAGGCGCGCAATGCCCGACACGTGCTCCTCCATGGACACCTCGATGGGGGAGAGCGCTCGCTGCGCCTCGTTCCGTAGCTCCTCCATCACCTCCTCCTCTCGCCGAGACAGCTTCGCCCGAGCCTCCTCAAACGCCCTCGACAGCTGAGATGAGCAACGCTCCGAGAGGTTCTACGTGAAGAGGTCACGGCGGGGAAACAGTGCGTCGGCTGCTCGTAGGTTTCACTGGGTTAAAGTGCATCTGGGCGTTTGTATGCACGTTGAACTTCTTTCGCACCGTACGTAGCCAGCTGTGCTAAATTGGAGGTGCCGGGGGGAGAGGGGGGGGTGGTTACAGCAAAACTAAACGCACGCAAAAAAACATTTGAAAACGTTTCGTGAAATGTGGCTGCGCCAGACCACAAGCTAATAATAATAATAGTGGCTTTAAAGTGGCTTTCGTCAAGAAATCCAAAGCACTGCACAAGACACAGCAGCAGACACTCATGAAATAATATAAATGAGTGCTAAAGCCATTTATTTGAACGAGATAAAAGTTGAATAAACTGGGCATCTCGTGTGAGAGAGTGCCAGAGTCTGGGGGGCTATGTATGAAAAAGCTCGGTCGCCCATCGACCGAAAAAAGACTCAAACCTGGGAACGCAGAGAAGATCTGCATTCCAAATCGACATCAACTACATTACCGAAAACCATCTTACTTTACACCGCTGTTTCTCAAACTTCTTTGCCCCGTGGACCACCCAGCCCCCCGCCCCCCACCCCTGCTGACAAAACACATTCAATTTCCCTCTTAAAGTACCGGTCAAACTAAGTTATTCATATAACTGAAACACACCCCCTTTTCTTTTTTTAAACCAGCTATAAGGTTTTTATTTAGGGGGGGGTTAGATCTTAGGGTCGGGGTAGTTTAATCAGGGTAGTTTACAAAACTCGATTTTTTTTTAATAAAATATCCAAAGTAAAAGATTAATGTCTGAATAAAGAGGTACAGGAATTGTCACTATTGCCGTGTCAACCTGCATTTGCATCGCAGCGTCGTGGACAGCCTGGAGGTCCGTCACGGATCACTGGTGATCCAGGGGACCACACTTTAAGAACCACTGATCTACACCATCACAATCACGATCCCCCACACTACCAACATTCACACAACCAAAATCATCATCATCACCTCCATCATTCTCGTCCCAAAGGATGAAACCGTATTGAGAGATGGCATGGCACTGGGGCCATGGTGAGGAGACAGACAGGCCCACGAGTCGCAAGCTTGGAGGGCTTCCATACCACAATGTTTGTGTGGTCCTCGCTCAGCGTGGCTGTCTCCTGCTGCAGGAGACCAGACGTATTGTCCACCAGTCTCACCCTTGCCTCCACGAGCACCTGAATCCACACGGCGCACAGGACACGAACTCGAACCTACGAGCCTGAAACTTGGGAGCCGAGACGCTCAATGAGCGGCGTGATGTTTAAAGCCTGAAGGGTTTAGGTGCCTGGTTGGTTCTGGGTGCAGAGCAGTGAGCTGCTGCCACCACTGAGATTTTGCGTTCAAATCTGGGTTTCGTGCGGGCTACTCCAAGTTGTACACGGGTGGACATATTGGACGGGTCGTCGGTGTAAGTTGAACGAGCGAGCAGTCCACTCTTAGAAAAGACACGGGGTTGAGTGTGCGCCTCAAAACACTCTGACATTACACTGGCAAAGAGTGTGCTCAAACTTGGACTTGGGTTCACAGTTCTCGTTCTCTCCCAACATGTGTGAACGGTGCGGGGTGTCATCCCTCCATCTGCGCAATTCCTCTCTGCCTATGACTGTCAACCAGAGTGCCACGGCCTTTAGTAACCCTGTTTCCATGGCCGGCACTCCCGCACCCTATCCTGTAGGGGCCGGCACTGCACGCCGAGCGTGGGTGCCACTCGGCGCTGTCAGTCAGCGCTCACCGAGCCCCTCTAGGGCCGGTACTGGACCCACATCCACGTGGTGTCCGCGATGTCGCTACACCGCACGCCGTGCCTCGCTAGGTCCGGCATTACACGGTGACATCCCGCGATGTCACAACATAACCGTCAACCGCATCAGAACGCCATCAACAGGCCAATGCACACATCTCCTTCATGAATGGAATATTAAAGACAAGCCACAGTCGTGCGAGTGTGGCCATGCAACCCAAACTAAGGACTGCATTGTAAGCCCACTGCAGCCTGTTTACCACGTAGGCTTTCGCGACCAATATCATTCATAATACTCTTTGGTTCTTTCGTTTTTTTTTTGGGGGGGGGGGGGTTAGATCATGTGAATATAAACGTGTCGTTAAACCCGCCACAGCCAAATAGTAAGGCTTGTCACGTACACAAAAAGTGCCAATTCGTTACTAGTGTAGTGGTTCAACTCGGAGGCAGTAATTCTTGGAGGTACTTATTTTATTATACTCACAATCTCGCTTCACATACCCCTACAGTCGCCTAGGCTACACACACCCTAGCCTAAATACGCAACAGTAGCCGTCTTAACACCAATGGCGCTGACCGATACAGCCAATGACTATATAACAGCGCAATATCAAGCGACCAAGAGAAGAATGATGACGATGACGACGATGGACTTGAGCGGCACGACGGGGATCCCCACTTACAGTCGACAGCCCCGAGGTCCCCTACAGGGGCCCTTCTTATACTGTCAGCGTGGCCTGGCTCCGCCCCCGGCCACGCCCCCTTTCTAGAACCTACCAGCGGGTTTTTGGTGTGCCCCTTCTGTGACCTTTCCCCTAGATCGCCCTCTGGTGTATCACGTGGCCTGCTGACGTCAGGGCTGCTGAAAGCCGCAGATCCCCTTCCCCGCCAGCAGCCAGCGCTATGCTGCTACATTACTGATTCTATGCCACTACACTAGTACAGCACATCTGTGTGTTGGAGAGTTAACCCACAACATTTACAATTTGAGTATTAATTAGCATCAGGCGACAGACAGATTTGGCTGTCGCCTGATGATGCCGGTTGTAATTACTGGCGGAACATCGTACTCAGATTGCAAATGTTGCGGATTTACTCTCCAACACAGCAGTGTGCTGTACTAGTAACGAATTGGCATGTTCTGTTCACGTGACAAACCTTACAAATCGGCTGTGTCGGGTGGTGGTGGGTTTAATGACGCATTTATATCTATGCGATTTCTAATTTTTAAAAAACATGTATTATCACTGCAGCCTGTGCTCCTTCAATGGAAGAGGAACAGAAATAGTGCACGAACTCTAACTCCTGAAGCCCTCTCCCCGTAGCTAAAAGCCTTCGACATTAGAATTCAGAATTCAGCTCCACAACATACTGCTGCCATCACGTGCGTATGAGTGCAAAGGATTTGGTGAGTGTATAGCAGTTAGTAGTGTAGTAAGCGTATAGAAGCTGGTGGGCGCTCGGTGAGCCTCTCGGAGTTGCTGAGTGCATCGGAGTTGGTGAGCGTACCGGAGTCGGTGAACCAACGATGAGCGTATCGGAGCCGGTGAGCCTCTCGGAGCTGATGAGTGTATGGTGATTGAATCAGAGTCGGTGCGTGTACCGGATTGGTGAGTGCATCAGAGCGGGTGAGTCCGTCAGAGTCGGTGAGCGTACGGTGAGCATATCGGAGTTTTTGGGTGAGCGTGTCACGGTCGGTGAGTGTATACGTCGAGCGTTTCAGAGTCAGTGAGCCGGTGGATGCCCGCTCACCCGCTTGGCCCTGCACGCCTCCTCCAGCGCCGTGTGCCGGTGCATCCGGTGCTCGGTGCTCAGGGAGCACTCGTGACACAGGGGCCGCTGCTCGCGCTCGCAGAAGAAGTCGAGGACTCGAGAGTGAGCCGGGCACAGCTTCTCCGCCACGTTGCGCGTCGCCTCTATCAGCTGGTGCGCGCGGAGCAGAGCTAACTCCTGTCGAGGGCAGAGGGGGCAGACACGCGGGCAGGTGATAGGGACGTGGAGGGGGACGTGGCCGGAGACGGGAGCGTGAACGTGATCAGGGACACGAACATGACCAGAGACATGACCAAAGACACGAACATGACCAGAGACATGACCAAAGACACGAACATGACCAGAGACACGAACATGACCAGAGACATGACCAAAGACACGAACATGACCAGAGACATGACCAGAGACACGACCAAAGACACGAACATGACCAGAGACACGAACATGACCAAAGACACGAACATGACCAAAGACACGAACATGACCAAAGACACGAACATGACCAGAGACATGACCAGAGACACGACCAAAGACACGAACATGACCAGAGACACGAACATGACCAGAGACACGAACATGACCAGAGACATGACCAGAGACACGAACATGACCAGAGACATGACCAGAGACACGACCAAAGACACGAACATGACCAGAGACATGACCAAAGACACGAACATGACCAGAGACACGAACATGACCAGAGACATGACCAAAGACACGAACATGACCAGAGACATGACCAGAGACACGACCAAAGACACGAACATGACCAGAGACACGAACATGACCAAAGACACGAACATGACCAAAGACACGAACATGACCAGAGACATGACCAGAGACACGACCAAAGACACGAACATGACCAGAGACACGAACATGACCAGAGACACGAACATGACCAGAGACATGACCAGAGACACGAACATGACCAGAGACACGAACATGACCAAAGACACGAACATGACCAAAGACACGAACATGACCAGAGACATGACCAGAGACACGAACATGACCAGAGACATGACCAGAGACACGAACATGACCAAAGACACGAACATGACCAAAGACACGAACATGACCAAAGACACGACCAAAGACACGAACATGACCAGAGACACGAACATGACCAGAGACATGACCAGAGACACGAACATGACCAAAGACACGAACATGACCAAAGACACGAACATGACCAAAGACACGAACATGACCAAAGACACGACCAAAGACACGAACATGACCAGAGACATGACCAGAGACACGAACATGACCAGAGACATGACCAAAGACACGAACATGACCAGAGACATGACCAAAGACACGAACATGACCAGAGACACGAACATGACCAGAGACACGAACATGACCAAAGACACGAACATGACCAGAGACATGACCAGAGACACGAACATGACCAGAGACATGAACATGAGCTGAGACATGAACATGACCAAAGACACGAACATGAGCTGAGACACAAGCATGAACATGACATGAAAAGTAATATTTAAAAAATACTTAATAAAAAACACGCTTTAATTAAATGTACCGAACTCGCAATGGCAGAATTCCACGACTCCAGGAAGTGGCCCCGAAGCTTGGCACGACGTAAGGGACCGTGGTGATTTACAGCCAACGTCAGGGAAGCAGTGGACAATTAGACCCAAGCCGAAACATAACATGTAAAAAAAAGATGGTTTAAAAATACTTCTTTTTTAATTTTTATGATAGAATATAGTATTGTCACCAGCATGGCATAAGTATACCCAAGTTTGCAGTCGATACCACATTGGGAAGTGGGTTAAAATCGCGTTACAAGATTTGAGAATACAACGACAACAACGACAACAACAACAGACAGAGTGAGTTAAAAGTGTAGTATTGTAAGGACGAGCAGACTTCCTTAGGAGGCACACTGTTTATTGTATTATTTCCTTATACAACGCTTAACACACACAGAGGGATATTCGGTACCCTCACCCGATACCCTAGGGAGGTACAGCCTCCGGACCTGGCGGGACTCACACGTCTACCGTTAACCTCCTTGATACCTAAGGAGGTACACAGCCTCCGGACTTGGCGGGACTCACACGTCTACCGCTAACCTCCTTGATACCTAAGGAGGTACAGCCTCCGGACCAGGCGGGACTCACACGTCTACCCCTAACCTCCTTGATACCTAAGGAGGTACACAGCCTCCGGACCTGACGGGACTCACACGTCTACCGCTAACCTCCTTGATACCTAAGGAGGTACAACCTCCGGACTAGGACCTAGGGAAGGCTATCTGACCCACCGCTGGCCCGGTGGGTCCTGACCACTGGGTATGCCGAGCCTTAGCCCTTAGAAGGGCTGAAAGGCTGGGTCCAGGGTCCTAGCTAGGCTTCAGCCCAGTCTTCTGTCTTCGTGCAGGGAGAGAACTCCCACGAGGTCCGTTGGGTCACCTGTCTTATACCCCTTCGTGGCCAGGCAGAACCAATCACACATTCCCACGTGGAACCGTCTGATTGGTTCGCACCAAACCCCTGGCCACGATCCGTTTCACCTCGACTGACCCCAACCGTTGTACCCAGGGGTAATGCTGCACTGCCCTGGTGGCAATGCAGGTTACGCAACAGCGCGTAGTTAACGCCTCTACAAAAGAAAGCGTTGTAATAACAATGGCCAGAGATACAGCCCCGGTGCTCCGTGGTGCCGCCGCCTCTGAGCGACGTGCTCAGCAACAATATTGACTCCCTCTTCTTTGGTTCTCTCGGTAAAGTCACCACGTAGAGTGAGAATAAAATAATAAAATAACACAATAAAATTCTCACGACGTTTCGGCCACAACGCAAGCGGCCGTCTTCAGGTGAAAGGTACAGAAGTGTCAGGACGACAGAGCTTCATTGAAGCCGAAAGGTCGTGAGAATTTTATTGTGTTATTTTATTGTTTTATTCTCATTTTACGTGACTTTACCGAAAGAACCAAAGAAGATTAATCCTTGCAGTCACGAAAGCTTCAAATCGAAATATTGACTCCGTCTGTTCCACTTGTCGGAGCTCCGGCTTTCTCCCACACGTTGAACGCCAAAATATAATTGGCCGACAACACCTCGGGCAATTGTCTGACGCCGACCCACCACGTGGCTGCTTTGCCACGTGTCTGTGGTTAAGTATTGTATTAGGGGCCGTCCATAAATGACGTCACGCACCTAGGAGGGGGGGGGGGGGGGTGTGGTCAGACATTTGTGACGATGTGTGACGAGGGGGGGAGGGGGGGGAGTTTGAGAAATGTGACGTCACATCAAAATGCGCAACTTTAAATAAATATAGACAACACGTTCTACTTAATTAAATAGACTTTTTAATAAATGTTTTCTCCTGCAACGTCAGAGTGCAGCGCCACATTAAATACGCACTACAATGACAATAGTTTAAAGCGATTTGAAGCATGCTTTATATTTTTTTTGGGCGGGGGGGGGGGGCAGAGCTTTGTGACGTCATATTTGAGGGGGGGGTCTGACTTTTTGTGACGCCGTGTGACGAGGAGGGGGGGGGGTCAAAAAGTAAAAAATCGTCCAAAATCGCGTGACGTCATGTATGCACGGCCCCTAAGTCAAAGTAAAAACGTGTGTCGTGCGCCCTCCACCACCCGGCGCAGCCAATTCAATGTTGCACAGCAATCAACAACAACAACACAACAAAGATCCCCTGTGTAGTCTTAGCATTGGGTCTGATGGAGGGAAGGTGGACAAGTGTTGTTACCCACGTGTGCACGTTGAACTTCTTTAGCACCGTACGTAGCCGACCGTGCTACGGGAAGTTAGCGAGCGCCTGTGGGGCGATTTTGGACGATTTTTGACCCCTCCCCCTCCTCCTCCCCCCTCGTCACACAGCGTCACAAAAAGTCAGACCCCCCCCCCTCAAATATGACGTCACAAAGCTCTGCCCCCCCCCAAAAAAAATATATAAAACATGCTTCAAATCGCTTTAAACTATTGTCACTGTAGCGCGTATTTAATGTGGCGCTGCACTCTGATGTTGTAGGAGAAATATTTATTTTAAAAAGTCTATTTAATTAAGTAGAACGTGTTGTCTATATTTATTTAAAGTTGCGCATTTTGATGTGACGTCACATTTCTCAACCCCCCCTCCCTCCCCCCCTCGTCACACATCGTCACAAATGTCTGACCCCCCCCCCACCCCCTAGGCGCGTGACGTCATTCACGTACGGCCCCTGTGATGAGAAACGACGACGATGTTGACAATAACGTTAATGACGACTACGACGACGATGATGATGATGACGACGATGGTGGTGCAGCAGTCATGAGCGTTGCTGCGATGATTTCTAGCAGGACGCTGTTCAGATGATGCCGTTGAATACGATGCCGCTATGGTAAAGGCCCAGTCCATGCAACGGCTTTGTTCTTACGCCGCTCTCCCGGCGGTAATTAACCGCCGCTGGCCGGAGCTGCCAAGAGTGCCCTCTCGGAGGGTATTCTGGTCGACCCTTGGCACGTGGGGAGGCGGGGTGCGGCGACCCACACTTGACCCCGCAGACACCCACACGCAAAACCGGGGTGTGCTGTCCACATCCATGTATGGACCGTATGTCGAACTTCTTTCGCGCCGTACGTCGCCGAGCGTGCTAATCGGAGGTACTGCTGGGTGGACGGAGATGGGGGAGGGAGGGAGGGGATGGGGCGATTTCAGTGGGACACCTGTATATTATTTTAACTGCCGCGACGGGGAATCGAACCGGTTTGCCACGAGCCCTCTGGCTCGCGTGTAATAGCTGTCAACCCATCGGTGTTAACCCCCTGTTCTTGTGCGGGGAAATATTGAGTATGTCAGGTCCGTACGGCGCCTGTAGTGGTGAGTGTACTAGTGGTGAGTGTAGTGGTGGTGAGTGTAGTAGTGGTGAGTGTACTAGTGGTGAGTGTAGTGGTGATGAGTGTACTAGTGGTGATGAGTGTACTAGTGGTGAGTGTATTAGTGGTAAGTGTACTAGTGATGAGTGTACTAGTGGTGAGTGTAGTGGTGATGAGTGTAGTGGTGATGAGTGTACTAGTGGTGAGTGTACTAGTGGTGAGTGAAGTGGTGATGAGTGCACTAGTGGTGAGTGTACTTGTGGTGAGTGTACTAGTGGTGAGTGTAGTGGTGATGAGTGTACTAGTGGTGAGTGTACTAGTGGTGAGTGTACTAGTGATGAGTGTAGTGGTGATGAGTGTACTAGTGGTGAGTGTACTAGTGGTGAGTGTAGTGGTGATGAGTGTACTAGTGATGAGTGTACTAGTGGTGAGTGTGTGTAGTACTAGTGGTGAGTGTA